TCTCTATTCTATTCCATTGGTCTATATGTCTGTTCTTGTGCCAGTACCAGGCAGTTTTGAGAACAGTGGCTTTGTAATACAGCTTGATATCTGGTATTGAGATCCCACCTACTTTGTTCTTCTTTCTCAAGATTGCTGCAGCTATTCGGGGTCGTTTTTCATTCTAGATGAATTTTTGGAGCATTCATTCTAGGTCTGTAAAATATGCCGTTGGTATTTTAATGGGAAGTGCGTTGAATCTATAGATTGCTTTGGGTAGTATGGACATTTTAATGATGTTGATTTTACCAATCCATGAACATGGTATGTTCTTCCATCTGTTTATGTCTTCCTCTATCTCTTTTTTCAACGTCCTATAGTTTTCTGAGTAGAGGTCTTTTGCCTCTTTAGTTAAGTTTATTCCTAGGTATCTTAATTCTTTTGGTGTGATGGTAAATGGGATTGCTTTTTTAGTCTCTCTTTCTGTAAGTTCACTATTGGTGTGTAGAAATGCCATAGATTTCTTGGCATTAATTTTGTATCCTGCTACATTGCCGAATCATTTATCAAGTCTAATAGTTTTTTGATGGGGTCTTTAGGGTTTTTTATGTACAATATCATGTCATCTGCAAATAAGGACAGTTTTACTTCTTCTTTTCCAATTTGGATGCCTTTTATTTCTTCTTCTTGTATAATTGCAATGGCTAATACTTCCAGTATTATGTCGAACAGGAGTGGTGAGAGTGGGCATCCCTGTCTTGTTCCTGTTCTTAAGGGAAATGGTTTTAGTTTTTGCCCATTGAGTATGATGTTGGCTGTGGGTTTGTCATATATGGCTTTTATTATGTTGAGGTATGATCCTTCTATTCCCACCTTGCTGAGAGTTACTCTCCAATTTAATTGATAAATCAACGTATGTTGGCAAATAGACCAATCCCATTGATATGTTTTAGTTACAAGATAATTGTCCATCTTATTTGTTGCATTAATCCACAATTTGCTTACATGTAAATTAATCACTATAATTAAAGTGGGCTCAAAACACTCAAAATGAGTTACTGTTACCTTTTCACCATTCAACCAAAATTTTCTGTGTGCTTTATCCAATTATGCTCTTTCCTTTAGTCCTAGTTAGAAATTCAATATGCATTCATTCATTCATTCATTCATTGAAATCTCTTTAAGTGCTTGAGTGTGTGTGTCAAGCAGAATGCAATATGCTGGGAATACAAAAATAACCCTGCTCAATCTCTGCCCTTGACATGTTCTCTGTCAAGGGATAATAGAGCTCTCAGAGGGAAGGAGTAGTCAACAGTGTCAAATATGGCATAGTTGTCAACCTTGAAAAGAGAACAGAGGCCATTGAATTCAGCAGTAAAAGAATCGGAGAGCAATTTCAGTGGCTTCTTCAAACTCTTATCCTGCTCAGAAGCCCAACAATATAGCCCAAGGACAGAATCTTTGTTTCTCAACAGAGGTTATATGATGAAATTTCTTAACTTTCCAGGAGGATTGGACCTCACAGCTGTATCAGTAGGAGTTCTTAGTTTAAACAATAAAAGCAGCTCTGCTAGGCATCAGCAGAAAAAAGGGATTATAGTAAAGGATATTGAATACTACTCAAAATCTCTGGAAAGAAAGGAGAAACAGAGTTGGCAGCTATACAAATAGAAACTAAGTCTGAAGCCAAGCTAATTTTATAACAATACCACTGCCCAGACACTAGATCTTTTTTCCGAGACTTTGTTTTACAGAAGTTTTAGGTTTACAACAAAATTGAGAGGAAGGTACAGAAACTTCTCATATACCCCTTCCCCACACATGCATAGCCCATTACCAACATCACTCACTAGAATAGTACATTTTTAGAAATATATATTTTTATTGATTTCAGAGAGGAAGGGAGAAGGAGATAGAAACATCAATGATGAGAGAGAATCACTGATCGGCTGCATCCTGCACACCCTATACGGGGATTGAGCCCACAACCTGGATATATGCCTATGCCCTTGGCCAGAATCAAACCCAGAACCGTTCAGTCTGCAGGCCAACACTCTATCCACCGAGCCAAATCAGCTAGGGCAAGAATAGTACAGTTTTTAACCAAGGATGAACCTATATTGTAACATCATAATCACTCAAAATCCATATTTAATTTAGGGCTTACTCTTAGTGCTGTAAATTCTGTGGGTTTTGACAAATGTGTAATATACATTCTTGAATGATTGTTTGACTGGAAATAAAATTTCAGATTAATAATCACTTTTTCTCAACACTTTAAAGCTATTACTTTATTGCCTTCTTTTGCTTGCTATTATTTAGGAGTATAGTGTATAATGGCATGTAACCATTATAAAATCATACAGATTCAGCTCTGCTCCTCTGACTTCTATCAGTCACTGAACTTTTTATTGTCTTTATAGTTTTGCCTTTTCTTTTCATTTGCATGTTTGCCATATGTATATTTTCTTTGGTGAGGTATCTGTTCAGCTCTTTGGCCCATGTTTTAATCAGATTGTTTGTTTTCTTATTATAGTTTTACATTTTTAATATATTTTGAATTAACAGTCCTTATCAGATTTGTCTTTTGTATTTTATCCCAGACTGTGGTTTATCCTCTTGAATTTTTTTAAATTTGATTTTTTTCAAATATTATATTGCTAAAATACCTTTTATTTTTTTTGCCTAGTACTTGCATAAGATACCAGATATCTGTATCTTTTGTTTTCTACTATTTTGTCTGGTCTTTAGTTTAGCATATTGTTAGCAGCATAGAGCAGGATTTTGTTCTTTTACCTAACCTGCATAATAATCTCAAATAACATCATTTTTTTGGTGAATCTCCACTGATTTTTACCATCTTATTTTATATTTTACTAGAGGCCAGGTGCACAAAAATTTGTGCACTCGGGGGGGGGAGAGGGGGTCCCTCAGCCCGGCCTGTGCCCTCTCGCAGTCTGGGACCCTTCGGGAGATAATGACCTGCTGGCTTAGGCTTGCTCCTGGGTGGCAGAGGGCAGGCCCAATCCCTAAGTGCAGCCCCTGGTCAGGCTCAGAGCAGGGCCGATTGGGGAGTTGGGGCACCGCCCCGTCATGCACAGAGCAGGGCGGATC